ACAATAAAATATGTTTACATGGGGAGGAACGTATTTACTGGTTATATCATCGACAATCGCCTGAATCTCAAGACGTTCTTCGAACCAATCATAGACTTTATTGAGATAGGTAAACTAAGGTACCCCCCCCGAGAACCGTATATGAGAATTTCATCTCGTACGGCTCAAACAAAAATACCCAAATACTGGTTGTAATGAAAACAGATATGTGTAATAGAAAGCTTGAAACTTCTTAACGGAATCCTATGATTCCAATCTTTTCGGAAGATAAGAAAAAATAGAAATCCGAAAACTATTCTTTGTGGTTATAATGCCAAAATATCAAGTCGGCTCACTCGTCTTTATTTACAGTAGGCCTCTTGAATATTCTATTATTTACTTCCATTTTTTATTTGTGTGTAATGTTCTTTTTTTTACTGCTGTTTTCTTAATTATTATTATTGATAGGAATTCTCTTGTTAGGACCATATGAATCAATTAAAAAAAACATCAGATTCGTATCATGACCACGATGATTCAAAAAAAACCTTTAATCGAAGTCCAAAAATTCCCTGAGTAAGAACTGCTGGATCATCACTTATTCAATGAATAGATAGAACAAAGAAACATTTGTCCGTTGATCAAAATAAAGATAATCGACGGAAGTTTTAAATAATTTTCATTTTTCAATTTATTCTTTCAACTCTTTGAAAAGTTTTTTTAAATCCAGTTACGAGGTCTAAATATTTAGTATGAATCATAGTTCTAATATTTTAAGAATATTTTTGATTTTCTATATTCCGTACTCCAGATACTAGAATAAATATCTGACGGGGTAAAATCATCTCTATCAAGATGACAGATCCATTTTTTTTATGTTCTGTACTATCAATAAGATCCATTATAACAAGTCACACACTCATATTCCGGAAATACAGAAACAAAGAAGTTTCACGATCAAACTACCAAATCAAAATGAAATAGGCTAACGATAAAAAACCTAAATGCTTAACCTTAGTTTTCTATTGAAAAGCTAGTTACTTGATTCTTGTGAATCTAATTCATAGAAATTCCGTCCAGTAAAATGGACGAATTATAAATCTCCAAAATAATAGATAGAAATATCGCAAATAGAGCCATTGCAACACCCATCAAAGGAGTAGTTCCCCACCCCGGAGCTACTTTACCATATTCTGAATTTAATGGTTTTAATAAATCCCCTACAATAGTTCGTCTTGGACTAGACTTAGAATTACCCTCAACAGTTTGTGTAGCCATAAATCCTATTTTATATTGATTGAGATCTGTTGACTTTGTATACCATTCCGCTGTAAATATAGGATCTATATCCTATAGATCCATTGTGGTCTTGAAATTTTGGAATTCTAAGAATTTTTAGAATTATAATGGAAACAGCAACCCTAGTTGCCATCTCTATATCTGGTTTATTGTAAGTTTTACTGGGTATGCCTTATATACTGCTTTTGGGCAACCCTCTCAACAACTAAGAGATCCATTCGAAATGAGCATGGGGACTAGTTTGAAGTAAATGAGCCCACCAATTATTATATATTAAGGGCTCATTACTTTCAACTAGTCCCCATGCTCTTCGAATGGATCTCTTAGTTGTTGAGAGGGTTGCCCAAAAGCAGTATTATAAGGCATACCCAGTAAAACTTACAAGTAAACCAGATATAGAGATGGCAACTAGGGTTGCTGTTTCCATTATAATTCTAAAAAATTCTTAGAATTCCAAAATTTCAAGACCACAATGGATCTATAGGATATAGATCCTATATTTACAGCGGAATGGTATACAAAGTCAACAGATCTCAATCAATATAAATAGGATTATGGCTACACAAACTGTTGAGGGTAATTCTAAGTCTAGTCCAAGACGAACTATTGTAGGGGATTTATTAAAACCATTAAATTCAGAATATGGTAAAGTAGCTCCGGGGTGGGAACTACTCCTTTGATGGGTGTTGCAATGGCTCTATTTGCGATATTTCTATCTATTATTTTGGAGATTTATAATTCGTCCATTTTACTGGACGGAATTTCTATGAATTAGATTCACAAGAATCAAGTAACTAGCTTTTCAATAGAAAACTAAGGTTAAGCATTTAGGTTTTTTATCGTTAGCCTATTTCATTTTGATTTGGTAGTTTGATCGTGAAACTTCTTTGTTTCTGTATTTCCGGAATATGAGTGTGTGACTTGTTATAATGGATCTTATTGATAGTACAGAACATAAAAAAAATGGATCTGTCATCTTGATAGAGATGATTTTACCCCGTCAGATATTTATTCTAGTATCTGGAGTACGGAATATAGAAAATCAAAAATATTCTTAAAATATTAGAACTATGATTCATACTAAATATTTAGACCTCGTAACTGGATTTAAAAAAACTTTTCAAAGAGTTGAAAGAATAAATTGAAAAATGAAAATTATTTAAAACTTCCGTCGATTATCTTTATTTTGATCAACGGACAAATGTTTCTTTGTTCTATCTATTCATTGAATAAGTGATGATCCAGCAGTTCTTACTCAGGGAATTTTTGGACTTCGATTAAAGGTTTTTTTTGAATCATCGTGGTCATGATACGAATCTGATGTTTTTTTTAATTGATTCATATGGTCCTAACAAGAGAATTCCTATCAATAATAATAATTAAGAAAACAGCAGTAAAAAAAAGAACATTACACACAAATAAAAAATGGAAGTAAATAATAGAATATTCAAGAGGCCTACTGTAAATAAAGACGAGTGAGCCGACTTGATATTTTGGCATTATAACCACAAAGAATAGTTTTCGGATTTCTATTTTTTCTTATCTTCCGAAAAGATTGGAATCATAGGATTCCGTTAAGAAGTTTCAAGCTTTCTATTACACATATCTGTTTTCATTACAACCAGTATTTGGGTATTTTTGTTTGAGCCGTACGAGATGAAATTCTCATATACGGTTCTCGGGGGGGTACCTTAGTTTACCTATCTCAATAAAGTCTATGATTGGTTCGAAGAACGTCTTGAGATTCAGGCGATTGTCGATGATATAACCAGTAAATACGTTCCTCCCCATGTAAACATATTTTATTGTTTAGGAGGAATTACACTTACTTGTTTTTTAGTCCAAGTAGCGACGGGATTTGCTATGACTTTTTATTATCGTCCGACTGTTACTGAAGCTTTTGCTTCTGTTCAATATATAATGACGGAGGCTAACTTTGGTTGGTTAATCCGATCAGTTCATCGATGGTCGGCAAGTATGATGGTCTTAATGATGATTCTGCACGTATTTCGCGTGTATCTCACAGGTGGCTTTAAAAAACCTCGCGAATTAACTTGGGTTACCGGTGTAGTTTTGGCTGTATTGACCGCATCTTTTGGTGTAACTGGTTATTCCTTACCTTGGGATCAAATTGGTTATTGGGCAGTCAAAATTGTAACAGGCGTGCCCGAAGCTATTCCTGTAATAGGATCCTCTTTGGTAGAGTTATTACGCGGAAGTTCTAGTGTGGGACAATCCACCTTGACTCGTTTTTATAGTTTGCATACTTTTGTATTACCTCTTCTTACTGCCGTATTTATGTTAATGCACTTTCCAATGATACGTAAGCAAGGCATTTCTGGTCCTTTATAGTAAATATGAATCATAGATATTTGTAATTAATCATTTCTTATTTGGGGGAGGAATATATTTCATTGCTACAAATATGGATTATTTAAAAGAATAAGACATGTATTTGGATATTTTCCTTCAATTTAACAAAATTGGATTATTATTATTTTTTACATACACGAATAGTTGAAGGGAATTCTACGAAGAAGAAATGGATTATGGGAGTGTGTGACTTGAACTATTGATTGGGCCACGCAGATATATGATTTTCTCTTATCTGCCACATTTGAATTTACAATTCAATGTGTCTTTATTCCAACTACCACGCAAGGTCCGTCCCTACAGAGGATAGGCTGGTTTCACTTGTAAAGAATCTTTTCTATGATCAGACTCGATCATATCCTGCATGAACAGGCTCCGTAACATCCAGTAAAAAAAGTGATGTGGGATAATCTGAATTATATTTTCTCTATTTCACTGAACTTAATAGTATGGAAATGCATTCATTTCCTATGCATTGACTCGATTTATGATACTATCGGAGTAAACCAAGTGGATCTAAAGAAGAACAGGGGTTAGATTATATTAGTAACAAGTAAATCCTTTGTACGTAAAAAGTTCCAAGATTTTTTTTTTGGGGGGGGGTAAGAATTGCAAGGTTTGAGATCACCCAAAAAGCACTATTCACTTTGAAAGCCTACTTGGGTATTGAGCGTTTACTTAAGTTTACTTAATAATAAAAGAACTTAATTTTTTTTTTTTGCAGATAAGATAATTGTAACTTCGGAGAAGAAAATAAGGTTTATTTTCTTACATGGAATCTTTCTATATGTGTGGATAACATATGCATTTTTTCTATGGATACATTCGAAATGTTTGATTCGTGCTCGAGCCGGATGATGAAAAATTATCATGTCCGGTTCTTTCGGAGGATGGATCTATAAGAATTCACCTATCCTAATAACAAAAAAACCTGACTTGAATGATCCTGTATTAAGAGCTAAATTGGCTAAAGGAATGGGTCATAATTATTATGGAGAACCTGCATGGCCCAATGATCTTTTATATATTTTTCCAGTAGTAATTCTGGGTACTATTGCCTGTAACGTAGGATTAGCGGTTCTAGAACCATCAATGATTGGAGAACCCGCGGATCCATTTGCAACTCCTTTGGAAATACTACCCGAATGGTATTTCTTTCCCGTATTTCAAATACTTCGTACAGTGCCCAATAAGTTATTAGGCGTTCTTTTAATGGTTTCGGTACCTATGGGATTATTAACAGTACCCTTTTTGGAAAATGTTAATAAATTCCAAAACCCATTTCGCCGTCCAGTAGCAACAACCATCTTTTTAATTGGTACCATAGTAGCCCTTTGGTTGGGTATTGGAGCAACATTACCTATTGAGAAATCTCTAATTTTAGGTCTTTTTTAAACTTTTTAATTAAATGGATTCAATTGTGAAATAAAATATCATGCCATGTATATTGTGTATCTAGGGAGAATTCATTTTGAAACGACTAATCCCTAGATACATCTTTTGGCCTATTCCGAGTATATGGATTTATTCTAAGGATTCAAATTACACATTTTCACCTTTATTTTTATAAATAATAAAAATATGAAAAAAAAAAACCAATGCCAATGGATTTCAAATTTATGCGAAATGCTTTTCTATTTCTAAAATGTCTAATATATGTTTTACATCTTCTACACGAAAATGTTCCATTTCCATAAGGTCTTCTTGACTATTATTCAAAAGTTCTAATAATGTATGAATATTGGATCTTTTGAGACAATTATAGATCTTGGGAGGCAATTCTAATTGGTCAATAAAAATGGATTTCAATGCTATTCCTTTTTTATTTTTCCTCAGTTTATCCTTAGCCAATATATCATGAAAAGTAAAAAGGGGTAAAGTAACCTTGTGTTGATTTTTTTCTAAATGAAAGGGATCTTCTTCTGCATGTAAAAAGGGAATAAATAAATCAATCAAATTCCGAGAGGCTTCATAAAGCGCCTCTTTAGGAGTTAAACTCCCATTTGTCCATATTTCGAGAAAGAGTATCTCTTGTTTTTTTTTCCCATTCCCATAGGAATGAATACTATGATTTACATTTCGAACAGGCATGAATACAGCATCTATGGGAAAACTTCCGTCTTGAAAGTTTTTTAGTGTTTTTATACGATATCCGCGATTCCTCTCAATTTTTAATCCAATACACAAATTAATAGGTTCTGTTAGGTTGGCTATATGTTGTGTATTATCAATGATTTCCACAGAAGGTGGTAAAATGATGTCTTGAGCAGTTATATATCCAGGACCTTTGAAACAAATAGATGCGTCTTGAGTTCCATACAGATTACTTCTCAATACAATTTCTTTCAAATTCATTAAAATTTCATGTACTGATTCTTGAATACCTACTATGGTAGAATATTCATGTGGTATTTTCTCCGATTTTGCACGTGTAATACATGTTCCCTCTATTTCTCCTAGCAAAACTCTTCGCACTGCAATGCCTATTGTATCGGCTTGGCCTTTCATAAGTGGAGACAGAATAAAGCGTCCATAATAAAGACGTTTACTGTCTACTCTTGATTCAACACACTTCCACTGTAGTGTCCGAGTTGATACTCTTATTTTCTCTCGAACCATAGTAATATATATATATTTGATCAAACCCTTGAATTGTTTATTTCTCTTGAAATCTTTTCCATGTTTATTTTTAATTTTACACACGTCTTTTTTTCGGAGACCTACATCCATTATGTGGCATAGGGGTTACATCCCGTATAAAATTTAATAGTATACCACTTCTACGAATAGCTCTTAATGCCGCATCTCTTCCGAGACCGGGGCCTTTTATCATGACTTCTGCTCGTTGCATGCCTTGATCCGCTACTGTTCGAATAGCATTTCCTGCTGCGGTTTGAGCGGCAAATGGTGTACCCCTTCGTGTACCCTTGAATCCACAAGTACCGGCGGAGGACCAAGAAATAACCCGACCACGTACATCTGTAACAGTCACAATAGTATTGTTAAAACTAGCTTGAACATGAATAACTCCCTTTGGTATTTTATGAGCATGCTTACGCGAACCAATACGTCCATTTTTACGCGAACCCATTTTTGGTATAGGTTTTGCCATATTTGATTATTTCATAAAAATAAGTCCGAGATATATGGATATATCCATTTCATTCAAAAACGGATCCTTTACTTTTTTCTAACTAGTTTCTAACTAGAATTCATATTCGATTTATATATATCAATTGTATTTTTATATTAATCGACATCGAATATGAATTTTTGAAATAAAATTTCAAATTGGAAATACCAATAATAAAAAATTTCTTCTAATATTTTATAAAATATATATTCTAATATTTTTATATTCTATTTTTATAGAAAATCCTCTTTTGTGGAAATATTATCCTTGTCTTTGTTTATGTTTTGGATTGGAACAAATTACTAGAATTCGCCCTCGCCTGCGAATTAATCGACATTTTTCACAAATTTTACGGACGGAGGCCCCTATTTTCATATTTGTAATTCCTTAATAAGTTAATACCAAATCTATTTATTGGAAGAAAATAAGGTTTCCTTACATTTTGAACTTGTACCCCCCCCCCAAAAAAAAAGATTGTTGAAATTAAAAAACAGTCTAATTAAATTGAATTTTTTATGCTTCTTTTTTTTTTTCTACGGGCGTATACATATAAACATATAAAAAGTACGTCGAATCTTTTGAAAAACATAGCTTATAATTCAATTTTGATTATATAAAGGAATCTGAAACATACCCCTGGGAATTTATTCATTCAGGAATTAAATCCTCTTGAATCCTTTTTATTTTTTCTTTTTTTTTTTCCAATTCCAGTTTCAGTTAAACCCCCTTCGCACATTCACTAGTATATGAGGGGTGGGTGATATTCTAAATCTGTGTTTTCTCTCTCTCTTTTTGACAAAAATGGATAGAAATTTCTCATCTAATTCGTATTTCAGAAAGATTACCATATATAACATAAAATTTCTCCGCCTATTTTTTCTAATCGAGCCTCTCGATCTGTCATTATACCCCTAGAAGTTGAAAGAATTACAATCCCCATGCCTCCTAAAATTTTAGGGATTCGTTGATAATTAGAATATATTCGCAGACCAGGTGTACTGATCCGTTTTAAATTTAAAAAACTTTTATATGATCCTTTCTTATTTATTCTATACCGTAGAGTTAAAACTAAATAATATTTGTCGCTTTCCCTATGTTTTCTGACGTTTTCAACAAAACCCTCTCGTAAAAGTATTTTCACAGTGTTTTCGGTGATGTTAGTAAATGGTATTTGAACCATTTTTTTTCTATTCATATCAGCATTTCGTATATAGGTTATTATGTCAGCGATGGTGTCCTTACTCATGATAAACGAAAATGATTGTTGCTCCTTATTTTCAATATAATCAACATGCTCGTTTTTCTATTTTTTTTTCATTATTTCATTTAGATCATCCAATATATTTCATTTAGATCATCCAATATTAATATGAAATAGATAATAATTGTTATTTCTAATACTTAGAATAATTACTACAAAAGGGATATGTGTGAGATATAATATATTAATTAATCCATTTTCATTACAAAACAAATATATCCATATCACGGTTTTGCCTTATAATTTTATAATACCTCGGGTGCTAATGAAACTATTTTAGTGAAATTTAACTGTCTCAATTCCCGTGCGATTGCACAAAAGATTCGAGTTCCTTTTGGATTTCCTTCTTGATCAATGACAACTGCAGCATTATCATCATACTGAATTAGTATACCGTTGCTACGTTTGAGTTCTTTACAAGTACGTACAATTACAGCTCTGATCACTTCTGATCTTTCTAAGGTCATATTTGGTACTGCTTCCTTGATTACAGCAACAACAATGTCACCAATATAAGCATATCGTCGATTACTAGCTCCTAGGATTCGAATACACATCAATTCGCGGGCTCCGCTGTTATCAGCTACATTCAAATAGGTTTGAGGTTGAATCATATCATTTTTTTGTTCTTTCAGTCCAAAGATTGAAGTAAAAAAAAATATTCTGTGTTCAAAAATAAGGAACTTACAATTGCATTTTTATGTTTTCATCCTAAAGCCCTCTTTCCTTTGGTTTTCATTATTATCCTGAAATAATGAATTGAGTTCGTATAGGCATTTTTGAGGCTGCTAAAGAAATAGCCTTTCTGGCTATATTTTCTGATATCCCACCCATCTCATAAAGTATTTTCCCAGGTTTAACGACAGATACCCAATATTCGGGAGATCCTTTTCCCGAACCCATACGCGTTTCGGTGGGTCTTACTGTAACTGGTTTGTCTGGAAATATGCGTACCCATATTTGTCCACCTCGTCGGACATTTCGTGACATTGCTCGCCGTCCCGCTTCTATTTGTCTAGACGTGATCCAAGCGGGCTCAAGTGCCTGAAGAGCATATCTTCCGAAGCAAATATTATTACCTCGATAGGATATTCCTTTCATTCTTCCTCTATGTTGTTTACGAAATCTGGTTCTTTTGGGGTTCTAGTTGATGGTTGTTTCTCAATTCCATCTCTATTACAGAACCGTACATGAGATTTTTCATCTCATACGGCTCCTCGCGAATGAAACGATTCCAATAATATATATATATAAATCGATTTAATCGATAAAATAATATACACTAATATACATATGTTTAATGAATAATAGAATCGCGGGATTTTTTGAGATTTCATAGAATCTATTAGTCTATTGGAAATTTGTATATCTTGTTTTGATATATAACTTAATATGTATTCTTATAGACAATTTAAGACAATTTTTGCTATCTGTATATAACTAAATAATATTGTTTTGTTATCTTATAATATTCTAACGAATCCTTATTTCTATTTTTCTTTTTTCTTTTATTATCATATCGTATCATATCGGATTGGCAAAAATAAAAAAATTCAATAAAATACAAATTTTCGCGGGCGAAAATTCACTCTTTTATTACCAAATTCAGATGGAATGTAGGGCATAATTCCTCAATAAAAAAGAATGGATTCTTTTTTGGTTTGTTCCGCCATCCCACCTAATGAATCATTAAGATTTGTTTAAAAAAAATCTTAGATATTCGCAGGTTTCGTCGTTCCCATCGCTTCTCAATTAATGGTTAGGTCTGAATTCTACAACGGAGCCTCTCTAATTATAAGATTTTTTTTAAATACTATTTCTTTTTTCTTGAATCAACCTTCTCAGTTTTTATTGATTCGGAGCTCTTGATTTGTTTGTGTTATGAATATATCCATTTATATATGGATTAATTCCTATTGATGCTTTATTACACTGCTTTTTATGAGATGACCCAT